CGAGAATTTATTTGTCGCGTCATACGCCCGATACGCGACAATATACATAACATCCATTTAATTATATCAAAATTAATGATTGTGGGAAATATATATATTGAACATAAGGTTGTTATGAAGCAATGAAGCATTGTTGTTGATTCTTTATTCTCTGAGTGTGGGTTTGTATTTGAGACGTCTCACTAATTTATATAACTAATAATGAATAGGTGCATGGAAATTTAATGTTAGTTGGTTGTAAGGAAAGAGTTTATCATAGTCTTAATTATTCAATTTATCTAAAATAAGGCACCGCTTCAATAAGTCTTAAGAGTTTTTCAGATAATTAAATGATATTTTTAAAATCTGGAGGGCATAACAGAGCAAATGCACCAGAATTGTTAAATTATTCATGTATTTCCTAATACATTACTTAATGTTTTTGCTTCCCTTAGCAATGTTTCCTGTTGGGTTGTGTTATGGAATATTCTAGCAAAATACAAGTACGTTGTGCGTTCAAGTTCTAAGGTCTCCTATTTTTTTCTCACACAATAATCATACAAAAAATTTGAAACTTCTGTCACTTTTCAATGTAATCTCCCTGCAGCCGTATACATTTTTCACAACGTCGACGCCATGATTCCATGGCCGCTGCGAACGCTTCTGCAGGAGTCTGTTTTGACCACTGGAAAATCGCTGATGCAATAGCGGAACGACTGGTGAATGTGCGACCACGGAGAGTGTCTTTCATAGTTGGGAAAAGCCAAAGATCACTAGGAGCCAGGTTAGGTGAGTAGGGAGCATGAGGAACCATTTTAAGGTTGTTTTCACGAAGAAACTGCTGCGTCGCGTATTCCCGATGCGCTGGTGCATTGTTCTGGTGAAAGAGCACACGCGCAGCCTTTTCCGGCCGTTTTTCTCGCAGTGCTGGAAGGAGCTTGTTCTTCAAAACATCTTGGTAGGCTGCACCTGTCACCGTAGTGCCCTTTGAAACGCAATGACTAAGGATTACGCCATCGCTGTCCCAAAACATGGCCACCACCATTTTTTCAGCACTGGCACCCACCTGGAGGACACTTTCCGCATTCGCAGGTCTTCATGCAGGATTGTGTGCACAGATCCCACGGAAATGCCAACTCTGGAGGCGATGTTTTCCACAGTCAATCGGCGATCCTCCAAAACAACTTTCTCAACTCGCTCGACCATGTTGTCAGACAGGCTGGTGCGAGGCCGAGATTGTTTTGGTTTGTTGTCACACGACGTTCGGCCTTCTCTGAACTGTCGCACCCACGAACGTACATGTTTCACATTCATGACACCATCACCACATGTCTCACTCAACTGGCGATGAATTTGAATGGGTGTCGCATCACGCAAGTGGATAAAACAAATGATTACTCGCTGTTCTTGTAACGAAAACGTCGCCATTTTAAGTATCAAAATCACTCCTCACACTCGCCGCTACCACTAGAGTTCTGTGTGCCGTAGAGTTCTGCCATCTCTGTCACGCATTCACAAGGAGTACACACGTATTTTAAACTAAACCGCATGTTTCTATCTGCTCCCAGTCCTGAGAAAAAAAATCGGAGACCTTAGAACTTGAAAGCCCCTCGTATTAAGCTTGAAGCTGGACATTATGAAATACTTGTAAAATTTTTTGTCATCTAATAATTCTGGAAATAATGTTACAACTTCCTCCTCAATTTTTCTATGGAGTAACACCATTGTATGAAGCCAATCACGTTTAGAGGCTTTGTTATAATCCAACAATAAAACAAATTGTAAGTGGATATATCGAAGCCACCCTCTGTATTAAAACAAGAGAAAATTTTTGATCGTCTGAGCATACAGCAGAGAAGCCTACCTGTCAGAGACAGACATCCTCTTGTCTTAGTCTGATTTGATTTAGGGGTTTCTGCGGCGTCTAATTGCAACGTAGTTCGTAGTTGTCCAATACCTGCCAGGCGGTACCAATTACAGTAAACCTGTGATCGCCGTGATATAATGATCCATTGCATCAGCGCTCGGCTGTTGCGTCCTCAAAGCAGCACTGACGTAAGCGTCAGCTCTGCCCCTGATCTAAGCAACACTGGCCGACTGTCGGGTGTTGGTCAGGCGCGCCAGTTATGTGATTTATTAGGGAGCCCAGTTCCAGTAGCACATTGTTCCTGGCTGCATTTGCATGCTTTGACACTAGGAGTTGAGCTGAAGAACTAATAGCGGCGCAGCATTCATCGGCCCGAGTATAGTGTTGCTAAGTTACGCTTAGGCGGGCACAGGGATCAGTAATCGAAGTTTCATTGTGGTTGTATAATTGTATAGTGGCTAGTATGTTGACGTGCCGGGTCGTGTTGTTAGTGTGAAGTGTTGTGAATCGACATCAAAGGTGAGAAGTGTAAAAAAAGTTCTAACCAATGATTAGTGTACGTTCTGTCTGAAGTTCTGCGTCAGACACGTGCAGTTCGTCAGTGACGAACTGACAACGCTGCAATGAGTCGGGGTCAGGAGGTCACCGGTTCATGTCTTAGCAGCCTTCAATCAAGAATAAGAACAACAAAAATTAGTTGCCAGGGAGAGGGACTGTCGGCCACAAGTCATCGCGTAAACAAGTCAAGGCCGTGCGCTGCTGTAAATAACAACCGGTTCGTAAAGGCAGTGCGTGCAGTGTTATCAAAGCTCTGTGCCTCAGTTCTTTCTGACAGTGGAGACTGGGTTTACATAACGAATGCATATCTTTGTCTTAGATTAACAACGCTAGAGAGTTCGTGATTGTTGCCCCTTTTTTTCCGGGTTTTTGGTGCAGATTTTTTACACTATCACCAAAGCTGAAGGACATTAAACGTAGCCAATTTATAGTTCCCGCTTTCAACAGTGTGACGCAAGTGGAGCACGTAATTGGTTGTTGCAATAATGCTGCCTGTTGTCGCAACCTGATGATTCTGTAATTCTGTAGGTATCTAAGAATGACGCAGCTTTTGTGAAACTTGCCCATGGTGGCCTAGCGAACAGCTGAGGTTAGATGCAATATTTTGACAACTAATAATAAAGAGAAGAAAGCAGTCTTCTGGGATGTGGCACCGTGTAGATGTGGTGTTAACCGACGTTTCGGAGGAACGTATCGCCTCCATCTTCAGGGTAGAAGGAAAAATAAGAAAATCCACAAGCGAAGAGTCCGTGAGAACCGGTACAAGCAGGATTTTCTTATTGTAACTTCTATCTTGAAGATGGAGGCGATGCTTTCCTCCGAAACGTCGGTTAACACCACATCTACATGGTGCCACATCCCAGAAGACTGCTATCTTCATAGTCACCGCCGTGAAGACCTCAAATCTTACAGTAATAAAGAGCTTTAATTATTTGGTTAAATTACTAAGGCTCACAGGCCAACAAAGCCGACATAATTATCAACGTGGCCTTTGGCGTCACACCTACAAAGACAATTCAGACACAAAGAAATAGTTCCTGCAAGAGGGAGGTGTTGAAAATGAAATGTAGTCTATTCATGGCAGCTTGTAGATAAGTTGTCATATATCTATTTATATGTTCACCAGACATGTAGGCAGGTTTCAATTTGTATGTCAATGTTTAGAGGAAGTGAACAGTCAGATTCCAAGGGTGTGGAGAAGTGTGGGATATAGTAGGGTCATTTCATTAAAATTTTAATTTTTAAAGGCCCTATGAATTCTACTTTAAAAGAAAAATTGGGAATTTTAACAGTATATTTAAAAGGCAGTGCTGGCAATTTTAACAATATACGAGTATTACACTTTTTAATAGGCAAATACTGGAGTGATAACATTCTGTTCACCTGTTACAGCTTAATGGGCATTTTTCAGAGAACGGATCTTAGAGTGCTTCCCTGTCTTCAA